GGTTCTATACCAAAAAAGTAAGGTTTGTGTTGATTTAGGGGTTATGGCCCTAACTGCTAAGGAAAAAGGGGCCAAAAACAACATTTTCCTAATACTTTGTAAAAACTGCTTATTTCTTGACCAATTTCAATGTGGTTTAATTCAAAGTCTTAAATTCTTGGACCTCTTTAATATGCTGGATCTAACTATCTATTTAGATTTTGGTCCACATTTAGGTCTGAAGGGTCCAAAATTTAACTTTGTTTAAATACAACAAAAATTGAATTCTTTGGGTTCTATGATATGCTGAATCTAACCGTGTATTTAGATTTGTGATTTTGGGCCCGATTTTTAATTTGGTCCACATTAAGGTCCAAAGTGTCCAAAATTTAACTTAGTTTGATTTTAACAAAAAATCATTTTAAGGGCTTCTTTAGGTCCTGTCATCAAATTGGTCCACATTGAGGTCCAAAGGGTCCAAAATTAAAGTTTGTTTGATTTCATCAAAAATTGAATTCTATGGGTTGATTGGTATGCTGAATCTAGCATTGTATTTAAATTTTTGATATTGGACCATTATAGGTATATGTCCAATTTCATTTTTTTTAAGATCTAAGAACACATTCATTCTGTACCAGAAACCTATGATAAGTCAAATATTTAATCACAATCCAAATTCAGACCTGTATTGCACAATAAAAAGAAACTGTAAATATATTCATAGTTAAAAATAGGCAGCATAAATTCTATTTTTATGTATAAATGAAGTTTGAAATTTACTGTTAATTATTAGATATTTTGAAAATGATGAAAGGTAAGTTTTATAGACTTTTAAAGACATTATATAAATGATAAATGATATTTTGGAAATTGTTTTTTTTTTTTTTTTTGTAAATGTTTTGTAGAACTTCATGTTCAGGTTTGTTTGTTATTCTATATGAAATAATTTTCAGAATGTTATATATATATATATATTTTATGAAGCGAACCCTTTAAAAACATAGCTAATATTGTCCATTAAGAAATAAATAAATTCAATTCTTGACGTACTTGGATATGCTGAATCGAACCGTGTATTTAGATTTTGGATATTGGACCATAATAGGTGAAAGTCTAATTTCAAAAATTTCAGTTTTTGACCATATTCATTCTTTGTCAGAAACCATTTTATTTTAAATGTTTACGTGTATCGTCTTTTCTGATACATACATATGAAAGATAATTTCAATGGAGAATGCATAACTTTTAAACATATTTAACATCATACAACAGGCCTCAAACACCATACTAAGTACCACGAACTCCACCACAAGAAGGGCGAACTTGTGTGCTCCTATGGGTACATCATAATTTGAGAGTTTAAATTTATTTCACAGATTGCTCGCAAATCAAACATTTGTTATACCAGTGCCTGCCTGAATATATGTTGCGGGTAAACAATAACTGCAGGTAACATTACAGTAGTTTTAGAGTTAGTGTGACAATTTAAATAAGTCTTACTAGCAGTCTTATACAAAGACTACAAACACAACCACTGGACTAATAATTGACTTTTCTTTGTTAATTCATCCTTTACAATTTCATTTGGTAACGCTTCACATAGCACAAAATTATTTAGCTTGGTACACTTATCTAATCATTTTAATTATTTGTTCTTTACAAATTTAGTTGGAAATTAGCTTGTTTTGTACACTCATCTAATAATTGTTTGATTGTCCTTTACAAAAAATGACAACATACACACATCTCATAAACTTTCTTGATAGACGGGAAACATTAATTCAAATTATTCAGCTTAGATATCTATAAAGAACAAACCTTGAGATAAAAAAAATTCTCAAAGACATTTGAATAAAATAAATGTTATCTTTTTTTCACAAATGTTCACAACTGCGAAATATTGAATAGGTCTTTGTTGAAGGTGTTATTCTTCGTAGTCTATCGCATATTGCTATTTCATAGAAATTCTAGGTTTTGAAACAAAATGCTTTTCATTCTGCAATATTCGCAATTAAGTTACATGACTTTTGTATGCCTGATAGAGCAATTTCAGGATTTCTCATGATCATGATCACTTAATATCTTTTTTAAAATTCAATATGAAAAATATATAATTCAAAATGATAATTATGTTCAAAAAAATAACTATCGATATAGTTCTTACGATTAATTGTTATATTTACCTGTACAATTAATGCGCGCAAATGTAACAAAAAGCTTGGCGCAAACGTAAAACTTTTTAATTCCCAAATGAGCGCTCGTTATTTTCTCTAAAGGGAAATCAAGAGATAAATGGATAACTATACTAGACAAGAGAATGGTGTGGTATACTTGAAGCTTTACCAAATAAAATTGGTAGACTAAGTTACAATAGACGGCAATTATTAGTCCAGTGGTTGTGTTTGCAGATAAATTGGTAGACTACTAGTAAGACTTGTCACACTAACTCTAAAACAACTGTAAAAAATTATATTATTGTTACCTGCAATATTTCCGTATGGTATCGGGTCTCTGTCCGGGAGTACATTTCGGTAATTAGTATCGGAAGCACCAATGATTATTTCTTTTATTATTTTTTGTTACTTTTTCGGGTAATCGTAGCCATTACCTTTTTATTTAGGTTTTGTTTTATTGCAAAATAAATTTATTGGCTTCTTTCACATATTCATAGTAATTTAGTACAGATATACAACTACGAAAGTATATTTACATAAAATAATAGATAAATGTCAGATTATGTGAAATCTACAACTAATCAAATATTTTGTAATACTTGTAGCTGAACATATGGAAGTGAACACTTTTTATAGTTTTATGGAACAGTAATTGAATCAATTCGTTAGGTGTTAGATAAATCTTATCGAAACAAAAAGACAAACAATTAGTAATATAAACGACATATTAGTAACATAAACGACATACATTTGTATAACGAAATATTAGTATAGGCTTTGAACACAAATACATGTACAAAAAAAACATGGCAAGCTTACATTGTTTAGGTTTCCAACAATTGATTGATACTTAAAATCAAATAAAAATGCGAACAAATTCGATGTCTTGAAATAAATCAGAAGTATCAGTAACCAAAAAAAGAATCGACAAATGCATGTTTAAGTTTTGTGTATGTCTTTTAATTCAGAAATTTCAATTTTATCTGCCAATTTACAGCCTTCTGTTTCTGACATGATATATTTACAAAAACTCATGAAGTTCTCTCCTAACACACACCAAGAAAAACCATCGAATATTATCTCTGTATCTTTTTCAAATAGATTTGGAAGGTGCATAAATATACTTTACGGTGCAGTTTTGTACACGATAGATTAAGACCTTATGTTGACTTTTCTGTGTGTGTTTTGTTACATTGCCATGGGTTGTTGCCTTATTGGTGTATTCCCAATATCTCTTGTTATCATATGATGGTAACATATTTACTAAAAACATTGCACATCTTGCCATTAAAGGCACTGTAAACACAGCTAATACATGATATACATCAAACATAATTAAAAACAGAAATATTATTATAATGTGTGTCTCGCTTGCGACAAAAGTCGAGGAAAGCGAGACAAAGGGATTGCTTTTCCGGCGACGACGACGATGACGATGTTGGCTTTAACAATCGTTAAGTTTTCTGCTTAAGTTAATTTGATAGCAACTTACTGTGATAGATCATTGATATTTAATATAAAGCTACATTACTATCGGGAGTTTCTCGCTGCATTGAAGACCCATTGGTGGCCTTCGGCTGTTGTCTGCTCTATGGTCGGGTTGTTGTCTCTTTGACACATTCCCCATTTCCATTCTCAATTTTACATTACTATCAGTACATATCAGTTTTATAACTATTTTGAGGCCCTGCTCCCTAAGTCATGGTCCAGTGACTTTGAATTAACTAGCTATTTTCAATGTTAAGTTTTCTGCTTATTAATCAAGTTTGATAAGATCAATGCTATTTTTATGAAGTTGCATAACTATCAGTTCATATCAGTTTGACGACTATATTGAGGCCCTGTCCCCTAAGACATGGTCTAGTGACTTTTAATTAATTAGCAATTTTCAATGTTAAGTTTTCTGCTTAAGTTAGCTAGATAGGATCTACTTATAATAGATCAATGATAATTTGTATGAAGTTGCATTACTATCAGTTCATATCAATTTGAATCATTTCAAGGCCCTTATTCCTAGGTCATAGTCTAGCCACTTTCAATTAATAAGCAATTTTTAATGTAAAGTTTTCTGCTTAAGTCAGTTTGATAAGAACTACTTTGTGGTAGATCAATGATTTTTTATATAAACTTGCATTACTCTTAGTACATATCAGTTTGACGACTATTATGAGGCCCTGCCCCCTATGTCATGGTCCAGTGACTTTGAATTAATAAGCAATTTTCCATGTTGAGTATTCTGCTTAAGTCAATTTGATAAGAACTACTTATGATAGATCAATGATATTTTGTATAAAGTTGCATTACTATCAGTACATTTCAGTTTGACGACTATTTTGAGGCCCTGCCTCCTAGAACATGGTCCAGTGACAGTGAATTAACTAGCAATTTTCAATGTTAAGTTTTCTGCTTAAGTTAGATTGATAGGAACTGCATTCATGTACAATAGACAACGATATTGTCTATAAAGTTACATAGCTGTCTGTACAACTCTGTTTGTCGACAATTTTCAGGCCCTGCCCACTAGATCATGGTCCAGCGACTTTGAATTAATAAGCAATGTTGCTGTCCATCAGATTGTCTTTTTCTGAATTTTATGCCGATATGCGAGACATATCTCTGTGTCAACATTTTATTTCAAGTATCATTATTGTTATTATCATTATTTATATGATTATTTTTTTGTATTATTATTATTATTTTCATTATTCAAAGATGGAAGAAGATTGAATCGTTTTCAACTTGCGGTAATGTGATATACCGTATAAAATGACTGATTGCAAGTAAACATGAAAGGTTATAATTCTCATATTAATTCTCTGAAATACATTACCTAAAATATAGATACCTAAAACTCTCGTAGATACCTGTACAACCAACAGAAATGACGCTTTCTGTGTGAAATAGGTTCGTTTCTTTTATGAACTCAATTTTCATGCTACATTTTTTAACCTGTCTTATTCTATTCATTTTTGGGGTTACCAAAGTAACATTGTCATATCTGCAATAGACATTGAATGTCATTCTATATTAGTAACTTTTCATAAGTATTAACTAGACTGTTATCAAATCTTTCTACATAATGTCTTTTTAATCGTTTTAACTGTTTAATTTAGTTTTTGAGTTAAGCAGTATTTTGAGGGTTTATCATAGCAATATACATGTATATTCATTCATATCTATACAAATTATGTCTCAAAAAAAAGTGTTCTCTTTTTTTTATTTTGATCGTTCATGTCTTTGCAAAGTACCGTTAACTATTTATTGTTCACTTTTTTTTACACATATACATGAAAAGATCCTTAATCTTAATAATTATTATTCAGATGAAGATGATTTTTCCATTACTTGTAATATTTTGCTGTATATTGGTTGTGAAATCTGAAACATGCCTTGGGAACCAGGAAAAATCTATTTTATCTGGTATAAAATCATCCATAAAGACATTGGAAGAGAAGTTGGAAGGTAAGATACCAGTTCATACAGCTAGTTGACATTACTTAAAAATATCAAAGATCTTCTCAATGAATTCACAACTTTGAGACTCGGAGCAAATACAAGAGCTTGACATGCTGACATTTAGATGTCTTTTAGTTATTTGTGTCGTTGGGTTGCTGCTCTGTGGCTAGTACCCCACATCTCCATTTATATATACTAATATTTCACTGAGTGTCCTGACGATTATGTATACATAAATAAGCCTGTGAGCCGATAGAACAAGGCTACAGTGACACCAATGGTAATTGCATCTGTTGATATATTAGCATTGTGACGACTTTTTGTTACAGATTTGTATATTTCAGTTGATACATAACAAGACGAAACTGCATTGCATTAATTATCATCGAGGCAATATCCTCGTTGAAAATTTGACTAAGTGATGTATATTCTAAAAGGCACATACTTCGTTAATGAAAGTGTTGTAAAGACTCTCAAATATCTATCATATGAATAGAAATTTAATTTTCTTACATTTGAATTAAAGTTAAATAAGCTTTTAATCGCATTATCCCTTTCCTATATAATTGTACAATTTCAGACTGAATTGGTTTAGGAAGATGTAGCCAAAAATGACATGAATATTTCTTTCAAAGATTTTTTTCAAAATACATCAATACATGTATTAGACTTCAACTCAAAAAATAATAAATAGCAAAGTACTTATGTCTTCTAACAGGTTTTAATATCAATATACCTGTATTTAGGGAAATCACCGAGATGTAGACCAGGATGGAAGGAATACAAGGATCACTGTTATTTCTTTTCTACTGACAAAAAACCCTGGCATGAGGCGGAGGTACGTGTTAAAAAAATCTAATTTTAAACAAAATGAAAAAATAGGCAGAACGCCATGTATCAAACTATATTAGTAAAATTTAATAAGGTGTGTAGTGACCTGGAAGTGTTCTCATTCTTGCCCTTTGGTCTTTGGTGGATAATTGTATTATTGTCTATCATATCATATTCTCTTTTTGGGCTCGGTGTCCTAGTGGTCTAAGTAGTTAACTACTGTATAACTAGCCTATCATCACTGAGGAAAGTGAGTTCGAACCCCACACGTGGCCGCTGCGTTCGATTTCAATCTTATTTCACTAGGATTGTCATTTTTACTGCAGAAGGCCGGTGATTCTCTCTGCACTCTCCGGCTTCCTTCACCAATAAAAACCGACCGCCACGATAGTCAAGAGTGTAGAAAGTGGCGTTAAACACCAGCAATCAACCAATCCATCAAACATATTTTCTTATTTCTAAAATGATAAGTTTGACGAAGGGCTTCTTTTTATTTCTGTAACCAGTGATGTGCTAAATTCAAAATTGGTTTCTGTTCAGACTTAGATGTATTGGTTTTTTTTAATGATAAAAAGGGAGGGTCGATTTTTTTTTAACACAATTCTTTGTGTTTGCAGGTAGAATGTCGAAATCTAGGAGGGTACCTAACACAAGTTACTGATTCTGCAGAAAATTCCTGGATTGTTTCTATGATTACGAGTAAAAGTAAGTTTATCATCTGTTTTTATTTTAAAGAAACCGAGTTTTACAAGTTATAGATCATTACATTAACTGGGTTATAGATGTATCGTCATCCGGACTTCTCGCATCCGGCAGTAAAACTAATGCTAAATAGAGATTTGTTGTCGCTAGATTTAGGCAATCAACATAATAATTATTAAATTAATCGTTAAAATCATTGTCAATAAACACCTCATATTTATTAAATTTCATAAATCTGATATTTGATAACTGAAAATAAATGGATTTCATTTTTTTTAAAATATGGAATTTTCGGTACACCTATGCTAGTATGTAAATTTTTTTTTTTTTTAAATGCAGGTGTATTTAAATGAGGGTTTGTAGAATTTATTAGTCTCTCCATTATTAATAAAACAATGATTTACATAATTATCCGCTGCAACTGAAAATACATGTATTATATTCAATTTCGTTTTGGTGTATCTTATGTGCAAACAGTTTTATTATTCAATTCGGCATTTTTTTAAATTACCTATAAACTTTCAATAATTTAGACTATTTGGCTTGCGTTGTATATGTTTGTGGAAATAAAGCAATCGCAACAAATGAATTTGCATATCACTGATATTATTGTTTTTGCAATTTCTTCATATATCTGATAATGTATGAAACTTGGGGTTAATTATACAGAAGTGATTCAGCAGCATTATTGGATGGGTGCATCAGATTTCAAGGAGGGTGATTGGAGATGGGTGAATGATTTGTCTAAAGTACATTATACCAGTTGGAACTCAAGGCAGCCTGATAATAGTGGAGGAAAAGAGGACTGTGCTCATTTCTGGCATGGACAGAACTATAAATGGAATGATCAACCGTGCAGTGACAATTTTGCGTTTATTTGTGAGAGCCCTCAGGTATTTATTATTTGTTTCGTTACATATCTCTGTGTAATATTTGATTTAATTGCAAAACTCATAGAAGAAGATCATACTCCAATAATGATTGAGTAACAATGATATGAAGAACAACAATTGTTTGTTTGCTCTGATTTGTCTAAGCATGTGTGATTAAAGTTTTTCAAGAGTTGTCTTTCTTTGCTTCTTATTATTGCAATTCACAAATACCAAAAAAGTACTGACTCAATTGTGTAGAGTTTCCTTCCCATCATAATATACGGATACCACTCCAGCTGTACCACTTACAACTATTACAATATAAACCATAATCGATTATTCATCATACATTGTATTACCCAAACTTGCATTTACATTTAAAATAACTAGCATATATACATTTTCCGTTTGGCAAAGAATTGGCTACGATGAACTATTATAATATTTTGTTGAGGCGCCAAGAAGACTCTGATTACCTACACAATGGCTATGTTCCGGACCATATGAGTATTTGGACCATACGCGTATGGTCATGACCATATGCGTATACTCATTACCAATGCTCCAGTTTTAAGTGTCCCACCTGTTGGAAAGAGCACGATGTAGCACAAAGGACCACAAAGGATCTTTAGAAGAGCACTAAGGACATAATATGGGGTTGGGGAAGTCTTTTCATACAAAAGAAATATTTATTTGTTAAAGATCTAAGAAGCCGTGTTCAAATATCGGTACGGTTATGCATTAGATTACGGCATTTTTTATATTATCAATAATCGAAGTTATTATACTTATGTATTTTAAAATATTGCAAAACATGAGCACAGAAACAAAGGCTTGACATTAAACAGAAAAAAAAAAATTAAAGCATTGGTTTGTCAAAATTTCAATTCCACAAATAATAACTAATTATATAATGAGGACTTGATTGCGCTTGGCATTAACAAAGAGGATTTTTTTACAATTTATTATCAGTGTTAAAAAACAGTCTTTAAACACAAGAAAACTGTTTCAAATACAATTATTTGTACTTAATTAATATGTGAAAATAAAACAAAAGGAAACTTTAGACTTTGCAAAATTAATATAGACCACACAAGGGGGTGATCAAAGACAAAAAAGTAAAAAGTGAAATATAGAAAATATTATACTCAAAATTTTATTAGAAATTTTAAACAATGAGAGCGTTCTTCTATAGAAAAAAAATACATTTTTAATTGCGACGGTTATCATTTCGAAATGAGTTATGATTTTGTCAATCTATATATTTACTGAGTTATTTATTTATGTGTGAAATATTTTAAGACACGAATAACAGAAATAGAATATTTCATAAAGTACTTGAATTTGTTAAAATAATCATTTTTTTTATTTTGATATCCAATTTTCATTTGAAATTGTAATTTTTCCGTTATCAGGCTTATAAAAAAAAATTAGATGATGGCTATATGTCAACAACAAACAACCATGAATGCCAACGACACAAATAACCAAAAGACAGTATTTATAGTCCATTCTTTATTGCGCCGTGTGTACTTTTCGTTTCTCATAGCAATGTAAGAAACGTCAAGTAAGAAAATTTAGGTAGATACTTTGTTTTTGTCGAGGATAAAATTTGATAAAACATAGTACATATTGACATTTCTGAAAAACTGATTAAAAAAATCATGTCAATTTAATAGCTTAGGAATTACTGCCATACCGATCCTTTTGCATCATGTTTAAAATAAAAAAATGTACATTTTTCTTCAGAAATTACATTATTTTCTTGCAAAAAATCCAATTAAAGGTCCTTTGTGCTCGTATTACACTCCTTTGTGGTCCTTTGTGCTACATTGTGCTCCTTTTTCCACAAGGGAGGTCCTTTGTGGTGTTTTAGAGACCCGTGTAGGCCTCCCCACTGAAATATGAGATGGAGGAGGTCCCAGAGTTACTTATCTGTAGACCAAACTGTTACCACCAACCACATTTTCCAACCCTGCAAATTGTAGAACTTGTTAGGCCCAGAGCAAGGGGAGAGTGAAACAACCCCCACATCACTACTAGTTTCACTGAACCTCCAACTTTCAAAATCCACCCTGCACCGTAGGTTTTTCGAAGAAGTTAATTTTGTTAAATTGTGTTGCCGACTATACGGTATGTCGCGGTTTTTCTCATTGTTGACGGCCGTACGGTTGCCTATAATTGGTTACATCCACTTTGTTTGAACTTTGGTGGTTAGTTGTCTCATTGGCAATCATACCATATCTAATTATTGTTATATTGGTTTCTTTTTTTATAAAAACTGGTAATTGTGTAAGATCAGAGTCTTTCTATTTGACAAATCCACAATGGTCCATTTGTAGTCAAATTTTTTAAATGCGATAGTCTAAGTCATATAACTATGCAAGTTGACATCCAACCTGTCATCTGCTGGTCTGATGCAATGGAGAAACTGTTTAGATTCTGGTGACCATAATTTAGCAACGAGTATACAGCAAACAAGTCCCTGAAAATATAAAACAAAAACAGCAGCAACACATTCTTAAATTCGGAGGATGGGTGGGATTTTTGTTTGTTCTTATTTTTTATTTAGTTATGCATCTCTGTGTAATATTTGATTTAGTACCATTTATACTTTAAAAATAATTATACAAAAAGGATACCTAAGGATACTACTAAAATAGCAAATATAAATAAGAAACTTCATTGGTCAACGATAAAACGTTCGATGTGAATAGCTTTGTGATCCAACGTATACAAATACAAAATATTAATGCATGTATGTTATTACATTTGTACGTTGAATCACGTGTTTACAGTGACTGCTGCAAAATGAATGTTCTAGATACGATTATGCATACTGAATCGGTATCATGTGTTTTTTCTTGTCATTTCCTATATTTAATTTTATGAATGTTTTCCTTTTAACAAAGATTTAATTGTTTGCCTTATATTGTAGGGTTCTAATTGTCTTCCGTACTCAAGACTGTTAAAGACTGCTGTACGTAGAAAGTAGCAACATGCACCCTGTCGTGAAAAAGTAAAAGTGAAATAAAGTTTGATTCATATTTAATTTTTTTATCTATTTATTTCGATTTATGAATGTGCATTATTATACAATTCCGTATCATTTCAAAATCCGATAGTATATGAGGTTTCCGTAGAAAAGTTTCGTTATCCAACTAGCTGTTTGCGATCAACATGGATTTTGTGATTTAGGCTTCGGTTTATGAAGTTGTCAGTTTCCACTTAATTTGGTATTTTGTTCAATTAAAAGTTGTTTTCGTTTTTATACAGATGTTGTACATACTATCGTCACTTTATGGCCCTATATCCTGGCGCACTGCTAGATCAGAAACACGGGTTTGTCCGATTTTCCAACCTTACCTTTCTATACTATTTTTGTTACGTTTTTGTCTGTTCTGACACTTTTCATCGTTAGATTTACCGACATTCTTTTTTGTACATTGATTTTTCAGGTTTTATTTTTAGTATGTGTTTTTATTCCTTCTTTTTTGTTTTATTATTCAATAACTGAGAAAACAGTAGGAGGTTGGGTTATACCGATACTTTCAGGTTGACAGGTGTAGAATAAAGTTTAAATCCGAAAGTCTCTGAAATGGTTGTCGTTATAAATAAAAAGATATACGGGGTAAACGTCCATGACAATAACAACAAAGAATCATGACTCATCTTCAAGAGAAAGACGAAGTTTGGAAGGATCCCAGACTAAAGCGCTGTCTGTCGTGATTGTTAATTTCTAGGATGCTGTTTCGTAGTTGAATATCATTTTTATTCATACAAAATCAATGTTGTAAAAGAAAAAAATATGTGCATTTCTTTATTTAAGTTATTCGCAAATGCTTAGCTCACACCTGAAATTCTCCCATCCTGAAGTAAAACTCATGAAATGCTTCGTGTCAATCTGACGAGACAAGTCAGGTCCTTGTCAACTGATTTTTACACCAGACTCAAGCTAGTGACCAATTCTAGCGACCAATCAAGCTACATGTAGCGACCAATTCTAGCGACCACTAAAGAACACAATGAGAATCAACTTGTCTAAGAATCATTATGTGGTATATGAGAAAACCACAAAACCACATTATGAAACAACGTCCTGTTAAAAAGAAAATCTATCTACCAGTACGGTATAAATATTGTTTTTTAACGTTTAAATGACAAGAAATGTCCATCAAATTAAGGGAGAAGGGACACTACAATACGAATGACGTCTGTAGCTGAATGCACTAACTAGTTTGGTTGCTAAATGTCTGCATCAATATCAATGAGTAAAATATAACGTCAAAAAGTCAAAACTATTTGATACAATAGAAAAACAAAGGATATGGGGTATCCCTCCATGACACAAAATCAGTAAATGCACAGCGAAAAACACACAAACAGCTAAGGAACATTCTTTGTTAACGAACTATTTTTATTCCCCTACATTCGAACACATACTATATGTTATCATATATGTATTTATATAAATAAAGGTGCGCCCCTCTCCGGAGTTTATTCTATCGGGAGAGGGACTAACTAGTTGGGAAATAAAGTAATCCATATTTTGACGTCTTCTTTACGTTTTCTCTGTTTTCCAAACTCTAAACCGAGATCGCAAAGATAAATCAATTATTGTAAACAAAATATTAAAAACGGAACGTATATCCCCCAAGCACATAATGGCTATACAATAGTACTTTGCGGTTTAGAAATCAGAATAAAAAGCTAAAGAGTTTTTAGAATTTGAATAATAAAAAAAAAACAAGAGTGTTTGTTTATGATGATTTGCTCGCACAATCGTTTTCAATATTCAGTGAACCGAAAATAATTTTAAAAGTGCATATTTTAATGAACATGTGTACCTAGTTTCAAGTTGATCTGACTACAACGTCATCTTAGACTAGATTCAACACAAACGTCATTCTAATGCAGTATGAATGGACGGACAAACGGACAAACGAATTAACAAACGAACGAACACAAAAACCAGATAATATTATGGGCTTTACTGTTGTAGGCGAAGCATAGAATAACCATTTAATGTGAGTTTACTTAAACTTATTCCTACAATGTATCAGCTTTCAAATAAACGAAATAAGAAAAATATTATGTGCGAAAGAATAACTATATACTGGCTTTCCATACACTCGGCATCCTAAAATAATTATCCTTTATTGTCTAGAAAAGGAACTTTTAATGTCTATTCCCTATACTGAAAATGAAAACATACAAAATAACAAACTGTAAGAGAACATTTCATGCCCACAAACAATATTTTGAATTGAAAGTATACGTGCACTATTTTGTACGGCATGCATCCTAACTTAAAAGAAATGTAAAGATTTTTCTTTAAAAAAAACGTACACTTTGAATGTCTACTTTGAACCCCTTCAATTCCCAGAAGGTCCTAACCCCCAAACAATCATTTCAGTGGGTCCTGCTCTTGATTCATTACCTTTTAATACTGGTAGATAGATTTTCTTTTTAACAGAACGTTGTTTCATAATGTGGTTTTGTGGTTTTCTCATATACCACATAATGATTCTTAGACAAGTTGATTCTCATTGTGTTCTTTAGTGGTCGCTAGAATTGGTCGCTAGCTTGAGCCTGGTGATTTTTACAGTTTTTGTTCTTGTGGTGTGCTGTTACACCACTCTCCCAGGTTAAGGGAAAGTTGTGCGGTCACAAACATGTTATACCCCTCTACATTATGTGTGTGCCAGTCTTAGGTCATGAACCTTTAATTCATTATACGTCGTTAGTTTCTGTCAGCAGTCAAATTTGTTTTTCTCTTATTGTTTTGTCATAAATAAGGCTGTTGGTTTTCTCGTTTGATTTTTTTTACACTTTGTCTGGACCGCAAGAACACTCAGCACAGAGAAACGCACAAATAAATAATATAATAGTCGTTACAACATGTAAATCGTAGAATAACAACGAACATCTTCCATTAACGACAGCACAGGACATCACAAACCGGGGGCGGATTCAGGCGGGGGCGTGGCGGGCGTACGCCCCTACCAAAATTTGCAAAGCATGGGTTGTCCTCAGCTTAATAAATATTATTTCGATAATTTTACCTAAAAAAAATTTAAATTTGAGACTCCCTAACCTAAAATCCTGGATCCGCCCCTGCAAACAGTGACATATTTTTGTAACCAATATATAATCTTGAAATTCATACAATTATTTTCATAATACTAGTCAAAACAATTATCATGACTATTACGGTATTGAAAGGTCATTTTAAATAAATGCTGTGACGACGTCATAATTATTAGGACTAACACAATACTTTATCCATGGAAAATGGAAATTAACTCGACTATACTGACAAATAAGACATATGTGAAATGTACAGAGTTTAAACCACAAACGATAACACATAACACAATATCCAACCGAAACCACAACAGAAACATCACAAATTAATACATGAATGTTGGATGTATAAATACCGAGACAAGTCGTATAGCAATGCAAATTCACACTCGGCAAAACAGTCATATTCGGGAATAGGTCACGTTCTGTACTTATAAGACAGACGACATAGATGTTAAACCACAATCTAAGACGTGGTAAATATGTCATTAGTTAGTTTAGACACAGACACATCGTATAGATCAACCAATTCGTGATGGTGTCATTTTTAATTTTTCCTCCTCATAACTGTTGGAGCAGTTTCTGCGTAAGGAGCACACTCCTGTATATGAAGTCCGTATAGTGTGAACATGCACGATCATAACGTATCAATTGAGATATGTAAACACCATACGACGAAGCAGAGGGTATGTTACTGCTGAGAAATGGGAAATGGGAAATTGATAATTGGGAAGTTGAAATCATCCCGTTTGTCATAGATTTTAGTGTGAAGTCGTCCATCTGTGTCAATATAATATGTAAAAGTTTTACATTATAGCAGAATATTCCTAGAATTATAAAAATATGTCTTCATATTTAAAAGTCTGTCATTCAGTTTACCGTATTAAAGTATGAACTGTTACGATTTTAAACATTGTTTTTGCAGTTTGGATAATTTCAGTTAGGTGAATTGAGTCGCCTCTCTTTGCATTTAGATTTGAATGAAATCAAATAAAAGGTATATACATTATGTATATACTGTTTATTATGTATTCACGTTGGGTTGCTGCAATGTATAGTTTCATTTATGAACAAAATGATATGTCCGCTAAACACGCAAACCAAATGACACAAAACAAAATACAAAGATCCATAGATCAACAAGAAGTCTTTAATTATTTAAATAGAGACTATCAAAGATCTACAGCAACGCCAAACATAGAATGCAAAAAACATTAAGATACATTGTAACTAAAAACTATCGTGACCATGTTTCTCTGCGGTTTTGACACCACTCCATTATTGCATCCAAGTACTACCGCAAAATTTTCGTATGCTCAATACTTGGTTGAAATTGGGAAGATTCCCATGTGTGATAAAGAGGTTTTATATTTGATAAAGCCGATTAAATTGTGAAAGGAAGGACTTAATCCTCTTTTTAAATCTCGATCAGTGTAATAAACCGTAAAGATGTTCACAAAACAACAGACAATAAACATCCATTCAGAATATCACTAAACTACAATTGTATACAATACCGATATAGACATTTACAAATTATAAATTCTCAAAATATATTATATCATAATTATAATGTTCACACATACTAAAACCTAGATCAAATAGAAGGATCAACTGAATAATTGTTGTTTGCTTAACGTCCAGTGGCATATATTTCATGCATATTCAGGACAAATAAAACGAAAAAGGAGATATAGGGCATACGTCAATGATACAGTAACCAAAGGAAACAGATTAACAAAATATATCTAGTGGGCAACATACATGTAGGTATAGTTATAGATCGTGTGAAGTGTGTTACAGATTACCAAAATATAACTAATGGGCAATATACATGTAGGTATAGTTATAGGTCGTGTGAAGTGTGTTACAGATTACCAAAATATATCTAGTGGGCAATATACATGTAGGTATAGTTATTGGTCGTGTGAAGTGTGTTACAGATTACCAAAATATATCTAGTGG